AACCTACAGGACACAGCATAAAGCTCATTTTTTTCTCATGCCCTTTGTTTTAAAGTACTGCAAGTGAAAAATTGCAGGTTGCAGTTTGCTTTCTAAAAGGATTGTGGGGAAGTAAAATAGTCTTTCCCTTGCCTCTTGAAAAGAAAGTAATTGTACAGTTAGGTTTGTATATGCACCTGAGGCATACAGTGGTTTTTTAAGAGATAAATAAAAGCCTAAAAGAAGAAGCTACAAAGATACCACTGTTTAATTCAGGAAAGGCAGAGAACAGGAGCAGATCTAAAGAAGTCAGCAATTTCCTTATACTGTAAACATAGTATCCCTTTTGCTAAACTTCAGTAATTTCGCCCCCCCCAACTTACTACAGGGCAGGCATTACTCTTTTACAGATGTGTTTCACAGTGTGCATTTTTGTACCTGGTCTTTATAAGGCTGGTAGCAAGATCATTGCTGTGCTTCTGAGCTTGCTGGTGTTCATGCTCGTCATTTTGCTGCCTAGATAAGCTTGTTTGACTTTTTGGGGTTTTCTTATACTTTATTGCGGTGTGCTGCGTAAGTTATGGGCCTTTTGTTTCAATTGTTTTGCATTATAAAGGATGAGCTCTGTCTACAGCACTGGTGTAGCTGTGTGGCTCTAGGGCCCCACCAGGGAAAAGTGTGAAAAGACAAGACCTTGGCTTACTATCCACGATCTGACTGTAGCTTTGAGATCATGCAAAGGCAGAAGCAGGAAAAGCTTCTACTTCTGGTCTTCTAGAAAGTAGTTTTATCTTTTCCTAGAGAAAGGTAAGAGAATAAATATTTGGTTTTGCGCTTAACTAAGTTTTATAAACTAACTGGGATGGATCTGATATAAAGCATGTTTAGATTAGAGAGGGATTTTTCCTGAAAAAGCTGGACAAGAGGGTGCATGATACACTTTCTCTCCTAAGCAGAGAAGAAAACCATTTAGTTTCTCACAGGTGGTAAAGCAGTTGTCCTCTGCCTGGATGCCTGCAGTGGGAGGCAGTTTCTGTTCTGTGCATCTTCGTAATCTTACTGTGTAAGGCACACGGGCTACTGGCAGGTAGGAGTGATTAGATGGAGCAGGCATGTGTTGCTCAGGAGTTGTTTTTAGCATCCGAAGTACAATTTCCAGGAAGATGTAGGGTAAGTAGGTGGCAAACAGGACTCAGCCTAGTAAACAATGTTTAGCGTGAAGTGGAGCTGCAGCACACTGAATACAGCACACTGATCCCTAAAGGAATTTTGTACTATAGAGCAAAATGAGGACATTAGAGATCAGCAAACACCGTTTAGAGTGGTGAGTGACAACGCAAACTGGTCACAAAGAGCAGGTTGCTAGTTTAGTGTTACCAACTGCACATACTCTGAGTGCATATCCTGTGTTTCACAATTACTTTTATCACTTGGTTAGGAAAAAAAAAACAACCAAAACTCAGAACCCTTTATTCTTTATTAGTGTTGTTACTACTGATAGGCTAGTCCCTAATTAATGTGATGGTACTTTCCCATTCCTCTGCTACTCTCCTTATTAGAAGTCCTTGGCAATATGAGAGACGTATCTATTAGTTAGTCATGAGGTATCTAGACCAGCTTGCTTTTGAAACTAAAGACTGTGTACCCCAGGCATACTGTATTTCTGATTTGCATATGGAAAAGGTAGTTAAAAAGCTGATGCCCCCATATTGCTTGCGAGTCAAGTAGCAAAAGTAAATGATTTATCAAGCAAAGGTTACAACACCTGTGCCTTTTTGTCAACATATACAGAGGATGCCAAGTCAAGTGTTTCTTCTAATAGCTCAAACAGAAATTTAGATTCAAATAACCCCCCAGATAGGACAATTATGCAGTGAGCCGCTGGAGTGGCAGAGTGATGGATGGGGTAAGCAGAGCCAGTGTATGAAAAAACAAACCAACTGAAAAGTTTTGAAACTGCTAAAACCAGACAAAGCCAACAGCCCTTTTGGGGCTTTTGTTGCTGAATCAGAACTACTGACTTAAATCAGTTTATTTCCTGGTCTCTTCTGTCATGGAGTTGTCATCCTGCTACAACCTTTGTTGACACAGGAAGACAGCCTTTTTCTAAATAAAGTATTACATAAATTCTATAAAATTCCTTTAAGGGATTATATTTGAAGCAACGCGACATAAGTCAGAACATGCTGCTAATGGAAATGTCTACTGCTAATTTTTATAATGCCCATTAAGAAAGGCATGCACTGGTTTTGGTTGTTTAAAAACAGCCCAGGACAGAATGATCCTTGCTCAAACCCAGCCATGCTGCTGTACATTTGTCTGCGATTTTATTCCAATGTTCTGTGAAAGCCCATGAATGCCCATGTATGGGAAATGCGACTTCTGCTGAACAGCGCTGTCACATCCCTGTGCACAGACTCACTTTTGCAGCATTTTAAGACTAATAACGAAGATGCGTAACTAGTGTCTGTTGTCAAATGACCCACCAATTGGAAGAGAAAATCAGAGCCACAAAAAAGCCGACTGTAATGTTTTCTTATAGTTTGTAGCTGGACCGTAATTTTAAAAAAGCAGATGTTCAGATACAGTCTTCATTTTTATTTTGTTGTTCCAGCAGTAAAGAGTTGCTTAACCCTTATATTTAAGCTTGACTTTCAGAAGCTCTGAGTGTTCACTGCTTCCTCTTGTCTAAGGGAGCTGTGTGGCCTGGCAGTTAGTGGTCCTCAGGACTCATATCTTAGGCTGACTCTGAATGTACTATAAAAATCCTGATGGAAAGCAGCCACCCCAGCTGCTTTTAATAACACAGTCCCATGTGTTTTTATATTTTCATTTTGAAAATATCCTAAGTGATTGTCCTATACACTAATGCCCTGCAAAAAGAGTACAAAAGCATGTCTTTGTTTAGAGGAACGCTAAGTAAATCCCAAATCATTGCAGTTAGTATTTTTACCTCACTTCTCTGATTTAAAACACAGTCAACTTCAGAGTTGTTTCATGAATAAGTAGTGAGTTTTGCTGATAAATTATATATTTAGTATCAAGTGGGTTGTGGTGGTGTAATGATGTATAGAAGCACAGAGATGCAGCTGGAGTCAGAGACTGGAAGTCAGTCTCCTTACCCACTGCAGCATGTTTGACTTTAATTGAAAGCTGTGCTTGAGTATTGTTTTTCACTGTACAGCATTGTTATTCACTATACTGCATTACATAGAAGCACTTAAAGTAAGGCTAGAGCACTTTAAAATGATTTAAGTCATAAATAAAGAGGATAAAAGTTTAAAGTCAACAAACTTATCTGGGAAACCTAGGCTGCAGGATGCAAGTGAGTTTAAAATATTTTTGAGACTTAATACTGTTGTGTCTTACTACATAATCAATTTACCAACTAGTAGTTTTTCAAGTCTTCTGGAAAAGGTAAGTAGCATTCTCCAAAGGGTTTCAAGTTTCCCAAGCTATGAAGGAAAAGACCAAATGCTTAAGGGCTTTAACAGTATACCTTAACATTCCTGTTTCCTGATTTCAGTGTATTTCTGTGTATTCCAGTTGTTTCCAAAACGACTGGAGAAATACGATTTAAATGTGAAGGCACATGAAAACTTGTCATGTACGTGAACCGAATAAAGGAAGAGGCCTGAAAAGTGGGGTGCAGGCTGCGTTTTGTTAAGGCATGAAAAAAAATCAGAACCTGATGGGTTAAAACCCTGCTCTGCACTGCTGGTGTACTTTCTGTGACCCTATTTAATGCAGAGAAGGTTTGAGATTCGATGTAGTTTAACCTGTGCTGTCGACAGAGCTATAAACTAAAGCCCCTAACAAATTGTACACAAAGAACAGATAGCAAGAAAACACATTGTGTTCACAGGCATCTGGTTGCAGCCCTGTAAACTGAAGATCTTCGGTAATGAGTGACTTGCATTTCATTGACAGCGTAGGTTCTGAAGCCATCGCAACAAGGAGTCTGTCTTCATGCATATACTGGACTGTAGCATGTGACAGCCATTAATCTGTACACTAATTATTCAGATGCATATAAATGATTTGAAAGAACTTACAAGACCTAAAAGTAGTACTCCCCAATTTGCTAGTTATTTGAATTATTACTTTTTAGTCATCGCAACAAGCTCAAAACACAATTACAAATATTTCTTGCTGTTGATCTTTAAAAGAATTGTAATGTAGTCAAGCAATCACTTAAAACTACAAACTACAGTTGTCCTAAAGTACTAGTTCTGTTCACTTTTTTATACCTTCTCCCCCACGATAACGTGATATTAAGCACAGACTTAATTTTTTCAACATCTGGCTCAAATTAGCTGCTAACAAAACTGCCAACAACTATTTTCTTAATCGACCCTGGGAATTTGATACAGCTTGGAAAAAGCACATTTAAACCTTGTCCTTCTCCTAAAGAAACACAAATGTTTACTTGAGCTTCTGATTTGACCATAGCAGGACTATGAATTCAGTTAACCCAGCTTTATAGGCCTGCCTCAACTGGACTTTTTTCTCTTTGTGTAAGGAAACAGATGTGCTCGCAATTACAAAATCTGCTGCTCACTCAAAGCCCACCATGCAAATGGCCAGCCAGAATTTGAGTCTATTTTTTTACATGGAAGTCATTGGAGCAGTCTCCCATTGTATTTGGTGGGGGACTAAGGTGCACTGTTACCCGATGGGTCTCTCTGAGCTCCCTTTGCATATGCAATTAAATGCACTGCCTAGGGAACAGGTTGGAGCAAAAGTCTTCTAAAACTCAGTCCTAGAGGAAAAAACCTGTGCACTAGAAGCCAGTATCTTAGAAAGCAAGAGAGATCTTTCCAGTTACGAAAGCAGCGTTATTACTACATAAGCCCAAAAAAACACAACAGACAAACAAACTGCAAGTGACATTTCACTGTAGTTACTGAGACCATGTGGGTGAAGTGACAGCAGCAATGCAGCTGGCTCCGCGGGGACACGTTAGAGTACACTGAAGAAGAAGAGGCTGCAGGCATACAGAGAAGTTGAAAGCGGCCCACCTGAGTCTGTTGAGGGATATTTACAAAGCTTGGATCCCGTGGTCCAACACTGACGAATCGGTTTGCGGGGGAGGTGCTGGGTGTCGAGTAGGCTGTGAAGGGAAGGGACACATGCGTTGAGGAAGCGGCACTAGATTGCACACGAACAACACCAAAACACACTGTCTCAGAGCCACCTAAGCAGATGTTTAACATAGAAATGTGCAAACGTTTTAGAGAGCGAGAGTTTGGTTTTAGACACTGGAAAGGTTTGGTCTTAATGATGGGGATATAAACACGTAGGGGACTGGGCTGCTGAGAGAGGGCTCCTTGCCAGGCAGGACGGCAACGACGTGCGCTCAGGGAGAAGTGTGCTGGGGTCACCTGTGCTGCTCTCCATCCCAGAGGAGAACCGCTGCAGGCCTTTCCATACTGGGCTAGCACAAGAGACTTCTGTAGGTCCTGGTATTGCCTGACTGTTTTCACTTGAATATGTGGTATCTCTAGTTTTAATGGAGTTTTGTATAGCAGTGAATTTACTAAAGTGCTTATTAACAGAATCAGACCCTTATTTCATGCTAATCCAGCATTCTCTCTCGATATAAAGTTTTGGTTTTCATACTGCTGTGGTCTGCACTCTCTAAAATGTTCACTTGATGTGTTTGACAAACTAGGAAGATCCTTTCGGTAAAAAATTAATGGGTTGCAGTTTCACTGGGGTGGTAAGTGCAATCAGTCTGAAGGCTGAAGCTGCCTTTAAAAACTGGAATGGCTCCCATAAATGTAAAGCTATTAAATGCAATGCAAGCCAAGAACCCAGATTACTTCCAAACTTGAACTACTTTAATGATTTTATTGTTGCATTATATTCTCCACTGCAACTGTCCACAATGCCACGTACTTCCACATCCAAAAGCTTTCAATGCATTTTCAGTCTTCCTCTCATTTGAAAATCTCCCATGTAATCTTCGCCCTTGTTCAGTTTTTTGCATGTTCAGATCTAAATTCAAATAACCTAAATAGATGCCTTAATACAAACAGTGATTCTGTCTATTTTAAATAAATTTATGGGAATGCATTCTGCTGAATAAAATCCCCAGACAATCTAACTATCCAACGAAGAGACAAAAAACAATGTTAAAAGAAAAGTTACTTGCCAAATTCCAGTCAGGCTAAATATAATGTTCAGGCCTCAATGTTACAGAAAAATACAGCGAGTTAAGAGTCGGAGAAGACACTGAGTTGTCTGTGTAGATGAAAGCCTGTTGCCTTTCTGAAGGCAAAATATTCAGTGAAGAGGCATTACATTGGAGGAGCCTTTGGTTTAAGACTGTACTGAATCAGACCAATGCTCCACCTTATCCACTGTCCTCTCTCTTACAGAGGCCATAAGCAGATGCACAGGGAAGAGTCAAAACAGGTCACATATTTACTTTCTCATATTCTTTCCCACCCTCTGACTATTTTCAGCTCAGGGACTCCCTGTATTTAATGGCCCGCAAGGGATTTCTCATTGATGAATGCCCAGTCTGCCCTTGAACCTATGCAAACAAACATTCTGCATCCCACAAAGCCCTTTGGCGAGGAGTTCCCAAGTCTACAAGCATGCAGAACCCCATCCTTCCCTTCCCTTTCTACCCAAGTCTCACAAACGCCCCATGATGCCTCCTAATTCTTACAATTATATGAGACAGCTTCACTTTCTTAAAGAGCATTCCCCTGAAATCACCCCAGGAACTGCGTATCTTCATTTCTTTTGATCTGAGGGGAGATAAGGCACTCCTGACTTCTAAGAATGAATTCTTCCAGTGAGGTGAGCTTTTCTCTCCAAAAAGCTACCACTTTGCTAGTACTTGCAAAAATCATGCAAGGAACACCTTTCCTTCACAAAGTTTTAAAGGAATTTTTAAGTGCACTACTTCATCTTTCCAAGATGATTTTGCAAATTGCAGTGCAGCTTGCATATTAGAGTGTGAACAGGTACACTGGTTGTTATTCATAACTGCAAATCAAGGAAGAAATGAACTGAGTAGATTTGGTGAGGTGTTCTCCTTGCCTTTTTACCATCTTAATTTGCTTAATAATTCAAAGAAGCCACAAATTTGCAAAGGGTATATCTCTGTTGCTAGTGCCATGTATTAAGATTCTTCTGTACTGTTTTATGGTGAGTTTTGTTTTTTTTTTACCTAACTACTGAACCCTATGTTGTGCAAGACTACAAATTTCTTCTGCAGTGGGGAAAATTAACTCAAAGCTCAAAAATCAAACATCTGTTGTTTGGTTCTTCTACCCTACTTTTAAGGAAGCGGAATGAGTGGAGAGGCCATTTAATCCCTTGGAGCAGGTAAGGTAATCCACTCAGAAGGGAAGGAACTCAAGATCTTGTTTACAGTTCCCTATTGGCAGATACTTTTGCTGTGATATTTGGTAGAAAATCAAAGGGAAACCATCAGAACGCTGTCTTAAATGGTTTCTCTGTTCAAACAAAAGTTCTAAAGCATTTGAAAACTGTATAATATGCACAAAAGTCCCCTCAAACCTTGCTGGGTGAATTACTATGTATACCTTTCTTCTATAATGCTCCAAACTATGTTTAACTTGCTTTCTGAAAATACTTGGTATTTTCTTAAGGTCATGTAACTACATTGCTACAGCCAAGAAGTGAAGAGTACCAAAATGACATATATGCAGAGTAGGCTTTACACTGGACTCTCCCAAGATGCTAGTCCCACTTCACTGTAAAATGTCACGAGATGTTTGCGGATTGTAAGGGACCATTTTGGTTCAGAATATTAAGTTGACATGGAATACATATTAGCAGTGACTCCTGTTACGGTGAAATTTGGTTCAGAAAAGGGAGCAGTACTGAGTGTTGCTTAGACGATCACCAATACGGCTTCTAGCCATATCTTACTGTCTTCACATAAATACCCTTGTTTGACATGGAGGTGGGATTCCTGGAAGTCTTACCACTTCTGATCCCTATACTCTGTTCTGAGATTAGGATGGGGCAAACTGCTCTCACTGGTTAAAGCTGGGTCATATTATATTATAGTATACATAGGCCAAGCCTATGGTGGGGTCTTCAACTTCCTTTTTAGGAAAGGGAAAAGCCAAAGCATGGAAAGGAACAGAAGCCAGGTGTCTTAGGCAGATTTCCTGATCTTTATCAGCTTTGCTCCATGGGAATTGCATAGATCTACACCAGTTTACACTAGCTGATAGCTGGCCTGTTGGGTTTGAATAGAAACATCTTCCTGCCCAGCCTAGTCTTTCTGCTACTGGAATTCACTAAGGATTGTTTGCAACATCATAGCCCATAGCCAAGGAAATGAATGTGATGCCACAAATTTGCTATGATGCTTCACTTCAGGAACAAGCAAAACAGGAGCTGGCAGAGAAAGAACATTTGCTCACACAGACAGCTTTGATATCTAGCCAAAAAGGCAAGAAATTGTATGAAAGACAAGACAAACAAACAGTTTTGGGAATGTCATGTATTTTAAAGTTGCCTGCAGTAGGAGAATGTTAATTTAAAATATACTTTCCTGAAATAATTTCTGCTAAGTCTAGGAGTGTGTCCTTTATCAGACAGCTCTGGATTAAAAGGATAAACTTTTGGTTGGTAAAGATGATTTGGGTGAACGATAACCTAATGTACCACTAGGTCTCTCTTTTATAGACCAACACGACAGGTACATGTGCTTGATATGATAAGCTGTACTGTTTCACAAAGGACTAGGAGTCAGTTGAGCCATTGTGGAGTTGTAGTGAGAGAATTAACCAGAGGAACGTGGTGCAATACAGCAATTCCTACTGCCATGCATTCTGCAGCTGAGTATCTGAGAGGGAATTGCAAATTCTAACAAATTAAATGATACAGTCATAACCCTCTTTTTTATGTATGGGGAAAGGAGTGAACAGAAAGCTAAAATGGCTTGCCCAGAGGGCACTGAGTCAATCCATAGCAGAGAAAGGGAGAGAAATCCAATCTGATTATGAATCCAGTACTATAGCCACAAGACCAGTCTTCTCATCCTGACACAAATGCTGTTTAACACGAAAACTCCTTTGTGCAAAGGGACATTAACCAATAACGACCTTGCCCAACAAAGGAAAATAGCTAAGTTTCTCCCCATGTAGAGTTGTGAACCTTAGAAAATAACATTTAGTTTAAAAAAGATCTTTAAAAATCATGGTGTACAGGATGGCAGTATCTTAGACTCTGCATTGGAATGAGGGCCACAGATTCTAACACTCAGATTCAGTTATGATAGTGATAAAGTCCAACTGGCATGTAGTGGACGTGGTGTTTTCTTTGGGCAATGAGATATTAAACCTAGAAACTGTCAAGTTCAAGAAAATAATTGTATTGTTTTTGTTATGGGTTACCAACCAAACAAAATCAAGAAAAGATCTGAGATAAGATATTTTTGGGACTACTTCTGATATCAAGGATGTGCTCTATTGAAAAGGCTTTTTATAGAGGAAAAATGAACCCTCCCAAACTTCATGAATCGCATCTCCATTGTGTCATCTCACTGAGGAAAATGCTGGCTTTCCAAAGGGATAGGATTTTGCAGCTGAAATTTTCAACTCCCAGAGCATGCCTGGCCACCCAGTAGCAGCAAATCCCTGGTGTGCATCTCCAGGGGCTCTTCCTTCCTTGGACAGCACTAATGTTCATGTTTTGGTTAATGTCACAGCTGGAGAGTTTCAGTATTGCTCTGAGAATCATTAACCACCTTGTTGTGATTTTTAGCTCTCATTCCCAGGAGACCATGCTGTATTGAACAGCTGCTCCTGGCTCCTGCACCCCTCAGGAGGGCCATATTCCAATTTTTGGTAGGGCCGTAACTGCATTTTGTTTCTGCAGAGGGCTTTCTGCTAGACCAAAAAAGGGAAGGAGAATGGAGAAAATGCCAACCCCTTTCACTCCATTTCCTTGGGGGGGGGGGCCTTCATTCTCCTCCACAGAGCTAAGGAGAGAGTCTGGCCAAAATCTAACATCATTCCTGCCTTTGTTGCATAAGTGACTTTCCAATATCCTAAAGCTCTGCAGGGCAGTCAGCCATAACCCAGCGACACTCCCAGAACTGGTGCACTCGAGCAGTTTGTAACCATGGAAAACACCTTTTTGTGCGGCTTTTATGAAACTCTGGTGAATCTGCATTTGCGAAGGCCAATATTTAGTTAAGAAAAAAATAAACACCGATGAAAATGGAGGGTTGGTACTGACTGACACACTAAATGGAGTCCAGTGGGCCCTTCTGGTAAACTCTCAGTGCGAGGCTAGGCACTTCGGTTTGTTTTACTCTTTATGTGGCCAGCCACTTCCACTGGCTTGCGTATATATGTAATATTTTTTCTTAGAAAGTATTTCTTATAATCTACTTTTCTGTAAAATTTTTCCCTAAATTAAATTAGATGCTTCTTTACAACTCAAGTCACTATTATTCAAACCCTTACCAAAAAGGAAGATGCATGCCTGAATATGTATAGAACTATATGTTTAGACATCAGCGTAGCTAATTAACAAACAGTAATTATTTTCCTAATCTTTTGCTTAAATACCATTAACTGGCTGCTGTTGAGAAAACCTCGATTCCCAATTAACGTGGCAGCTGTCTGCTGAACACTGAGCCACAGTGACCAGCCCGAGCTGATACCAATGGGTGGTGTTCTGCGAACTTCAGCGGACAAATGTCAGGTTTTATGCCAGCTGAGAACCAGGCCAGACATGCATTTAGCTTGTTTACATGATCACAGTATCACAAAAATTAGGTATTAAGATTACTGCTAAAATGATGTTGGGAATTTTTTTCTTTTAGACACCACACACTGCCAGTAAACTGAGTCACAACCGTAATGACAAATATACATTGACCTAGTTTCATTTTTCCCGGTTCTGAAGACAAGGAAATAGTAAGGCATTGCTGACTATATTCAGTGATAACTATGACTAAACATTAACCTTTTAGAATCCACCGCTAAATCTTATTGATAGGACTTAAAAGACGGTACCTCCCGTCAAAGAGCATCAAAACTTCCTGATAGCACAAGTGTTGGTCTAAGATCAGAAAGAAGAGTGGAGGGGAGGGAATGAATCAACTTCTTAGCTCAACAAAAATCTGATCAATTCTAGAAGTCCTGATTCTAGAAGATCATGTTCACAATCTTACCAGTCTGTCTCATACTAAAACCCATTTTAATTTCTAAGCGAGCCAGAGCATCTTGCTGAGTTTGCAGTTGTGCACTATCGCATAGCAGAAGGCAATGCAAAACTCCCAAGAACTACCAGATTTTAAAAATGCCCCGTGGAACCTGTGCAAATCTCCTGAACAGTATACAAAGCTTTAAAAATGTAGGCTTCACATGGTCTGAATAGTGAATACCTCTTTGCACATCAAGCAGTGGTTGCATATAGCATTTAAATAATAAACTTGAAAAGCACACAAAGGGATTTGCTCTTTCGATTAGATTGATTTTTGTTTGTGGATGTTATTTGGACTCCCTTCACTGTGGAACAAGTCCCCTACAGTTGCCATTAAAGCACTGAAAGCTTCCCTTTTGTTTTTAAATGTCAGTTTGAGCATAGCTTCATTAAATCATTTCACAATTAACTCCTTGAACATCCAGACTTTTTTAAAGCATCAAACCCAGCTGAATCGCATTTGTTTCCCAGAAGAGTGAGTCCAAAGTGGTATCCCCAAGTGTGTATCCAGGAATTTGTATATTTGACTTGTGGCTACACAAAATACATATGGGAGCTGTGTGGGTGGTGGAGAGAGGATTAAAGCTTTCTCCCTGGGCCTAAGAAATACCATAGCTTCTTGCCCAAAATGCAGGGCTCGGGAACCAAGTCATAAGGGAAAGACGTCTGGGTTAATCTAGGAAGACTTATTCCCAAAAGAACTATAAATGAAGTGAACTCGAAAGAGTTGTTAGTTTAGCCCATTATGTATAAGCAGCAATGTTTTCAATGAGGCTATCTGTCTGACTTCCATGTAGTATCTAGCCTCTAAAACCTGGCTTGAGATAACAAACTGCCTCTTCATGACAGTAAACAAGATCCCAAAGGTCCCAGGTCTGTGTCACAGCTTAGCTACTGGCCTTGATTTCTCTCATGCATGGCTATGTGAAATGCCAACAAAGCAGAAATGAAACTGTAACCTTAAGCTAACTCTTTTCTCGTTAATATAAAAGCAGCTCAGAATTTTGTCCATCATATACAGAGTGGAGAGCTCTCCTACTTCCTGAGAGCTAGTCCAGTCCTCATCTCTGAACAGCCAATACACAGTGATCGCAGCACATCGTGCACTGCTGTTAGCCCTTGGTTCCCGCTGCGTCTATACTTACTTGGAGAAGTGGGAGAGGTGGCCCCTCCTTCTGTTGATGTAGTTGGAGGTTTTGTGTCTGGCACTGGCAGAGGCACAGGCCTAGCCATTGGTGGCGGAGGTGGTGGTGGCAACATTGGGGTAGGAAGGAATGGATTGTGCACCTTGCCTTGGCTGCTACCATTGGGCTGCCAAAAAACAAGCAAACAGACAAAAATTATACTAAAAATCAGCTATTAGGAACCTCTGGCAATAGTTGAAATCTAGTTGAAAGCTATGTGCAATACATTTACAATTACTTGAGAGGTGGCAAAGAAAGTGCTGTGTCAAATTCTCCACTGACTTCAAGGAACTTTGTCTCAAACCCTGTGAACCTTGTGAAACTATGGAAATTCTCACTTTTAAACATTTGTCCTATTAGCAACTGGTCTGAACTACCCTGGGTTAAATTCTACTACTCTTTGCATTTCCTGCAGCCACTAACTCATGCTTAGTGAGAGTTGAAGCAGTATTTTTGACCCCTTAAATCCCCCAGTTTCATGCCTCTGTTATACCCTTAGGATATCAGTGCCTAGGACTTGAGTGTAAATTTCTTAAAGATACTGCTCATTAAGAGAAAAAACAAGCATTTTTGGTGGTCTTAAAAGTCGTGCTGCTATCTTATTACAGGAAAATGAATGAGTATGTATTAAAGTAACTGCTCTCCCACATCCCTTTTGAGTTAGCAATAGTGTAGCTCACAGTTTAGTTGCCATTAGGATCATATGGAGAAACGACTGAACTTAGAACTGCTTCATTTTACACATTAGGAAAAAAACCCCCTCCGTTTAGTCTGGAATGTGGTCAGTCACAGGCAGAATGGGCCCAGCTATCCAAGTGTGGTCTTTCAATTAACCACCAGAAAAACCTGTCCATAAGCAAAAGTGTTTTCAAGTATCACAAAAACAAGAAGCAGGCTTAAAAAAAATGCCACCCCTCCCCCCAACTTGTGAAGTTTACATTTTAAATGTAATACAGCCTGGACACTTGAAAACCATACAGATAGATGCCAAATACCATTATAAAGAGAAAGTAGGACAGCCTGTGAATCAGGTGTTCCATTTTAGTGACAAAAATGATGAGATCATTTTCGACAGCACTCTGCAAATTGATCTCACTGCAGTTCTTCTGGCACTGAGCATTGGCTTTTCCATTGATGATAAAAGCTCAGCTTTAAACACAGATCCATATTCTAAGTACTGCTAAAGAAAATAATGTTTTAATTCCTGTTAGGGTTTCCATTAGCCTGAATTACTGGGGACAAAATACTCATCCTGGCAAATGCTTAGGACCTTATTTTCATTTCACCTGCTTTGGCACTGACAAAAGGCCTAAAAGTCGTGTGGGTGCAAATCACACTTGTGCTAGAGCAAAAATGGTTGAGGGCATAAATAAGACTCAAATTCATCTGCATTTAACTTAACAGCACTCACACTGACTTCAAAGACTGCAGTTAACTAGTGTTTGCAGTAAGAAGCAATCCTTCAGGGATATTTATTTTTCCAACATCCAGTACCTTTAATAAACTAATATATTAGTGACATCTCTCAAACACTATCTTGTCTCACAATTAGGTCCCTTTCCTGCCAAGAAGACCCCTGCTGTATGTTCATTGTGAGTGTGCTAACAGTTCATAATGCTGAATGGTTTGGGATAAATTAAGCAAATGAATACTCAAGGAAAAAGAAAAGCACTATATTGATTTGTTGTCTAGACATAAATGTATCTGCTAACATATTGCAGACATTATTCAAAGCCAGTACTGGCTGGAATAAGTAGAGTCAGTTTTTCTGCTAGGGAAAGGAAAGCACCGAGAACAATATAGCTTATTAAATAAGTGTAATAAATTAGATGCTAATAATTAAACTAATTCTCATTAACACTTTCAATCGTATGTATGTCAGGAGAGAAACAGTAATTTTGCTAGTTATTACTTCATTGGCTGGAAAAAGTTACATGCATTATATTTCATGAAATATTCAAAGCATTATTTTAGATTTGATTTACATAAAATTTATAAATTCTGTATTTGACTGGAATGCTATTTCAATAATAGCAAGATGATTCACTTTGTTTGATTAAAAAAAAAAAGAAAATGGTTATTTGAAGCTTTGGAACTCTGCTTAATTTTTCATAGAGATAAGGGGAAAAGATAACTGCTTACAGAAATAACAAACCATAATAAACTGTACTTTTAACATCTTGAGTTCAAGTACTGGTCAACTTGATCTAAAGTGCTATAAGGCAGTATTTTTTTTTTTTAATGAACTTAGCTGATCTGAAACATCTGTTTCTCACCCTCCCTTTTCCTGCTCCTTCCCCCCCCACTACCCCCTGAACTTCAAAAATAATTAATAAAAATTATTCTGCCTTCATATTTTGTTAACCCTAGTTCCACTAGGGTTACAACGCATGCAGCAAAGTCATTTGTGGAGGCACCCGAAAGGTCACTGTATCACTGGCTTCTCTGACAGTTTAAGTTAATTCCACCACAATGTGGTCGAGTGTTTTTTTGGGGAGGATTTTTGGTTTTTTTTTTAAAATATTTTTGCAGTAGCAGCATTTTTTTCTTCCAACGACTATTCAAGGTGTGTTCCTGTGTGCGACATGCTGTTAAAATAATCCCATAATCCCATGGTTAATTTTACATAGGACAAACACTTCTGAAGAAATAAAAACAGCTTCCTTACATTTAGGAACCCCACCTGTCCAGCCTGCTGACCAGCGTCGGGGCAGACAAGTTGGACAAACTCTTTCAGAGTCTCCTGAGGATGATAGCGGATTGCTGGGTGTGAGAAGTATGGCCCAGGCTGTTGAATAATGGGTGATGTTGGAAAATGAAGAGTCGATGGTGTTGCATGTGGACTTGCTATAGGAAAGAAAACAAAGAAGTTATATAGAGTTTTGCCTTCGGAAAATAAAACAGTTTAAATCTACTGTAGTTTTACTTTTAGTCTTTCTTTAAAAGTACAGTATTGTTTATACATCTAATGTTCACAATTAATATATTAGACCACATTGTGTCCTACACTCACTTCACCTAGATCCTGAAAGCAAATGGAGCCAGACATTTTGAAGGATTTTCTGAATTTTTAGTGGACATGTATAAAGGAATCAGCAGTCCTTTGTGAAAGTGAAAACTATTCATCACCTTAAGAGCAGTCCTCATCAATCAGGCAATAAAAAAATGTATTTGGGAGATTAGGGTTGATTTAATTGACATTTCATGCAACTTGGATTTGCACGTATGAATCCATTTTATATTGTACTATAAATGGTTGATAATTTAAAGATGGTCTAACACTTCCTGTTGTTGGGGTTTTTTTCCACCTCAGTTTAGAAACATTTATTTTAAGTAATGTGTTTTCATCTAATGAACATGCACAAAGTGGCAAGATCGTTTTGAAAATTATATTTACATTTCTCCTGAATAATATTAGGCTCAAATCTTCAGCAAGCCCCCTGCTTGCATTCAGGGATGAAGTTTAATTTGGTGAATTTATGGGCCAACAAGCCAGCTGGAAAATGCACTACAGTAAAGGTGTAAGGTACACAAGCCCATTGGCAATGACAGATTTTACTCTCAGTTCATTTCAGCAGAACTACAAGTACAGCTGAAGAGCCTTATGCTCTCCTACATTATGTGACACCTTTGCCTAGTTCCTTGGCCTTCAAGATAAATTGGGTTGGACCCTTGTTAGCTAACAGTGCTTTCCACTGTTAGTTGTCACCATGAGGTAGCAACTGCTGCCACTCATAGTGCTACGAATTCTCCCTTTCCCCTCTAAAATGAGAATTCACTCTTCCTTTAGAATGGCCAATTAACCTGGTTGTGCACAAGCTCATCTGTAAATCATACTTTATTTCTCACCAAACAGTCATCATTACATCCCTGTTGCTCCCTTGGCATGCTATCCTAATAATCTTTCAAGGGTGTCCATGTGCATATACTGCACTTGTACACCACACATAACTGATTAGATAAAGGCTATGCAAGGGAGCTAATATCCTACAGAAACTCATGTGTTGGCTTTGAAGTAAGTTAAATATATGAGGGAAAAAAAAACCCTTGGCACTTTTCGAAAAATTGGAGAGATGCAGGAAAGTTAACTAAAATCAAATACAAATGAGCAAACACTAATTTCATGACAAATGTTATGAAAAACCCTCAGTTAAATAAAAGCTAAAATCTGCTTCTTAGTCTTGTTCATTGCCAGTTTAATAATATGACACTTTATTAATAATTTTTTCTTAAGCATTATTAAACCATTAGCAAACTCAGAGCCTGAAGATGTGGATAAAACATGTACTCAGAGACAGCAGTAAGGAAACCTACTGCATTATCCTATAAACATTCATTAAGGGTTGGCTGGGCAGCCCTTCTATGTACTTCTTTCTCCACGACTGGATAGGAATGATTGCTTTGACACCACCACCAAAAGGAGCTGCACTCATGCCTGGGGTGCTGATATGGGATGAGTATGAAGCGCTCATCCTTGCCATGAAAAGTTCCCCTGTATCCTTGTTAACGCCACGAGTCTTCCCAGTCTGCTCCCCTTAATACTGTTTAAAATATTCACAACAGAAACTCATACTAAATGTGTGGTACTAAACCGGAAAAGACCACTGAAAAAAAGCATGGAGATGAGAAACCAAAAGGTAGCATGCAGCCTTCAACTCTCTCTGATTAAAGTCGATGTATATCCGGTGAAACTCTTCTGAAAGCATGGGCTATATCTATCTCATAACAGCTAGGTAGCATGTCATGTGGGCTGAACTGGAAAACAGTGTTTTCCCACAGCCATGCTAGCTCTGCAATGCTGCACTTGGGAAAAGGAAACAAGAAGAAGCATATCCCACACTCCTTGTATGGAAATGTTGACAGCTATTCCATGGCCAAGGCAAACACCTGTGTGCCCAGCCTGTTCAACCTGTCTGCACATCTGGGCTTATCACTTGTTTTTTACAAACCTAGTTAATTATTTCTTATTCACTTTTAAGACAAATAGTTTTGTTCTGAGTTTTCATCTTAAATTATAGTATATTGGAAAACTCTTCAGATAAACAACCCAAATCCTCAAAGGAAGAAATGAAGGCTATTTTCCTGTCCCCAAACTCCTGGGAGAGGCTGTAACTTTGAAGTGTGCTATTAAAGGTAGAGATAATGTGGGATTCACCTTAATAAATGTGGGTGTCTACCATGGAGCTAATGATCTTAGAATCAACGGAGAACTAAACAGAACTAAAGGTGTCTAAGTTCATGGTTCATCTCATCCAAAACCAGACCACTGCCTTTGACTAGACTTCATTGACCACACTGACTGGCTCACCAGTGGATGTGAAGGGAGCCCACTGGTACTAGCTCTGAGGTAGATACCTCCAGTCTACGCATGCACCTTCAGTTAGGTGAATTCCACCCAAAGTGTCAGCCTCTGATCTCACTTACACCAACCCCTGAGGTGTAACTGCTTTAATGACACTTTACAGGTATGAATGTATCGTCACCTTCTCCTGGAAGCAACAGTCATTTTAGAGCCTGTAAAAATATTTTGCCACAAATATTCATTCAACAAAAGTTGGTGGTAAAGATTTTGATGACTACAACAAAATTTTCATTAGCAGACAACATTTCTGTCATTTTTTGATATAAAACATATTCTTCCTCTCTTCCTTCGTATCTCCTTTTATAGTTCCCCCTTTTCTTGTATGCCAAATGGAAGATGAAGGATGAAGATAAAAGTGAGAAATGAAAATTTATGTGGCAAACATCTAATTAAGTGAAAAATAGGTTGGGATTTTTTAAACATTTATTAAAAAAATTTCATTTTAGCACCAGCTCTGTTAATGCTATTTGAAATTGTTATCCAACTGCACTGTCCTTTGTACACATCTGGGAACAAATTCATTCCTTTTCTTCCGCTGGGTGAAAAGGAGATCGAAATGCTATTTCAATCAAACAAGAAGGAATAAAAAATTGTACCCAGGGAACATGTGGAAATTCAAAGCTAGGCCTGAGACCACACTGTATTTAGCTTTTCCAAGGTATGGCTTTTCATTTAATAATTTGATTTGCTATATGAAAGACGTTATGGTTATTAGAAATACTCATAGGCATGGAAGTAGTGGGTCTTTGTCTGTTGCCTTGACCTCCTCAGCATGTCAGGGTAGAAAACAAAGTGGAAAGCATTTGTCAGTGATCTTCCCAAAGAGAGAGAGAAGAAAAATGAGTACAGAAACGATCAACAATAATTCAAGAAGGTAAAGTGCTGCAAGAAGGAGAAAATGGTTCCTCTTCAGAGTCTTGGCCAGCTCCTCAGCACAGCCTTGAAGGGCTTTCTGCTGATCACGGGAAAGACTGGGGGAAGGAAACAAGACCAAATAGGCATCAGTCCTCAGTCTGTGCCATATACTGACATATAGGGTTCATATCCTCAGAGTAGATGGATTAGCATAAGAAGTAATGAATGGAATGAGGATCTCCAAAAGATTTGTTTTTGCAGTCTCTGACTGGGAAAGACCAAATTTCTCAAGTGGCAAAGGGAAGGGCTCTTTGATAAGAGGAAGAATCTACTACTATTAAACTGATCAACATTACAAGTGTGCCTGCCTTATATTAGAGAGAGGGAGTTAAATGCTAAAGTCTAAAAACTGCTGGCCCAGATACAGACCATTACTCTGATAGCTGCGTTGTGGTCACCAACTCTGGTGTATGCAAAAACGGCCTTTCAAACAAGTTCTGAGTGCAGAACACAACCGTGTTTCCAAATATATGGATCCTCACAAACATTTTTAATCCGTTAAAGGACGTGAGGTAGTGGAGTAGGATGTTATTTTCCCTGTTTGCCTCTAAAAGGGGCAAGTGACCATGCAAAAGCCCCTTCAGTCATGATTTTCAGAAACGTTTAATAAAAATTATTAAGTCATTGCTTCTGAAAACCATGCCTAGAGTGATGCAAGTTTTCCTGTGTATAAGAAAGGGCTATTACTACTTATGTGCTTCTGATGGGATATTACAAGTCTCAATCAGTGACTGTAAATTCTTTGAGATCTTCAAATGGAAGATAAAACAGGTCTTTGTCTATTATTTATTTACTTATTGACTTATTATTTATGTATCCCTAAGCAGCTCCATGCTGCCAAACCATATTTCTCTTGGCGTCTTTCAGCCTGTGACATTTATATTTTATTATTGACCTCACTAAATGACATAAAATATAAGTTCTACAACCTATGAAAATATGTGTATTCCAGATCAGAACTTCATTTCTACCTGCTGTAGGTATGGAGGAGTTGGACTATCTAGCATTATTAAATCTGATATTTGTGTGTGTGGGTTGGAGGCAGGAATTATCCTTCCATCTCAAGGCAAGCATAAATATTTCAAAGCACACATGATTCTAATTCCATTGAAGCTCATCTGAAACATCCCAGACTTTTTATTGAAAATGAGATGATAATGTATGGTGACCTGCAACAGATATACCAGTATTTTAAAACTACTGCTATTGGGCCAGGTAATTATGCAGTACAGCTGTTGCATGCTATACTGGATTTTTTAGTGTTTTATGAGTTCGTGGTGTTGTGCAGCACAGAAGTAAGAGGATTTTTCAGAACGCTGAATTCAAATGTCTGATTATGCAGGACTGCTTGTCCTTTCGCTTCTTGATTTGTAGTAGCCAATAACAAACTAACTAACTAATAAAATAGGTTGCATTCATTGATTAGGTTAGCACTTCACATGTCTAAGGCAAATGAAGAAGAGACAAAATTGTGAATTCTGTTCAACTGAATGATCAGATAATAAAGAACCAGTTAATTTGAAACAGGTTATAGTTTTCTTCAGATATTTAGTACCCTTCTCAGGCCCTT